GAAGCCCCAAACCCGAAACTCTCAACCCTAAACCCCTAAACCCCAGACCCCAAACCCTAAGCCCAAACCCCAAACCCCAAGCCCTAAACCCTAAACCCTAAATCCCGAGCTTGGAGGACCTTCATGGCTTGTTGAGGCAGCAGGATGCTGATTTGCAGGACACAGCCGTGTTTAGGGGGTTGGGGATTAGGGTTTATAGGGTTTAAGGTTTAGGGCTTGGGCTTTGGGGTTTAGAGTTTAGGGCTTAGGGTTTAGGATTTAAGGTTTAGGGTTTGGGGTTTGGGGTGGACCCCCCACCCAGTAATAGTGACTATAAGGGATCATAAGGATTATATTAGGGCCCTCGTATTCCTAATATACCACTATTACAGGTTGGGGGGTATGAGAGTATTGGGGTACGAGGGTGTTGAGTTTAGGATTTGGGGGTTTAGGGTTTAGGGGTTGGGGATTCGGGTATGAGAGTATTGGGGTTTAGGGTTTGGGGGTTTAGGTGTAAGGATTTAGGCTTTAGGGTTTAGGTGTTTAGGGTTTTCGGGTGTAGGTCGATGGGTTAGGTTTCGTTCCTGTTTGAGTTTCTAGTGAGTCTTTGGAGGTTTGGTACCGGGTGACAAGTGAATTCCATAAAGCCCCTTCCAAAGTCCAGGAGTCCACATATAGGGCCCCGTCGAGGGTTGCATGGTAGATTGGAGGAGGGGAAAATCAGGGTTTTAACAAGCCGTGCGCCCTACTCCCTGAACCCTAGCCATCTTTGAGGCTGTCTTGACTTAGAAAGTCTACTTGACAACAGGGGTGGTGGGGATCAGAATCAGAATTTCTGGGTATAGTAGGTAGCCACAGTAAATCAAAATCCTTGCAGGGGCACTGAAGGGTTTTGTTGGTGTTCAGGGGTAGCGCGAAAGCAGATAATGACCCGTTATAGGAGCACCATCAAGTTAATTAATAAAAACCTTAAACCCTAAACCCTTAACCCTAAACCCTAAAGTTACCGTTATAGGCCATGAAGTTAGCAAGTTGAATCTCAAGCTTTGGCAAAATCGTGCCAGCCGCACCTTTGAAGCTGAGGTGCTTTGCTGAAGCAGCTTGTCATCCTCTTAACAGGGGTTGTAAGTAGGGAATTTGGGAATAATGGAAAAGAACATGAAAACTACTATAGTATGCTGGGGTGTCTGAGTTTCTCTAGGGATCCAAAGTGGACCAGTTTGTCATCCAGCCATTGGGAGGGTTAAGGGGTTATAGGGGTTATCTAGGTAGCCGGGTAGCACCCTTTTCCCTTTTTATTTTGGGGTTTCCTCATTAAAATTGACTACAAGGAAGAAAGGGTACCCTGATTATTATGGGGTTACTGGGGAACCTAGTTATATAGGGTTAATGGAGAAGAAAATGGGAACTACCATAATGGGGTTTAGGGTTTTGGGTTTTTCCCTAAGGATCCAAATAGTCCAATGCAGGTAATATTTGTTGTCATCCGCTCAAAGCGAATATGGGGATAATGGAAAAGAAAATGGAAACTACTATAGTATAGTGGATCTCTTGCAAAAACCTAGGGACCCACATAGCCCAATGTAGGTGATATTTACAGACTTTGGGGCCCAATGTTGGTAATATNNAAGTAAGATTTGTATACTTGGATCCTTAGGATTTGTCATCAGTACAGTTGGAATTGCAAGCTCGCAGCCACGGAGGGCATGTCTTGTCCAGGACTCGGGGCTAATTGCCACGGAAAAGAAACTCAACCATCACCGTCTACTTGAAAGTTGAGTGTCCGTGCCGGTCCGAAAACCCCTTAACCCTACATCCCCAAACCCTAA